ATTTACCTTATATAATTTTTCTTATAAGTAACAATAAATTATGTTTTAATTTATTTGGTAGAAAAAGAAATTAATTAATTAACTATTTTGTAAAATTGTAACCTAATTTTTTAGAAAAAAAATTATTTCGTTGAAAAAGTACACGTGATTTTAGGCAATCAATCAAAGCAACTTATGTTTCTACTTACTTTATTCTAATTCGTAACGTGTTCGTAACAACTGTTTAGAGTCTTATAATATATTACCAGAAATCTGTTATTATTGTTATTCGGATTCCTTATACCTATAAAAGGTAACCTATAGGTAAATATATTTCACGAGTGTGCGAAGTGCGAAGTATCCGAAAATATGCCATCAATGGTTTTCAAACTGAAATTGGGGGATACAATGAAGTTGGTTAGTGGCAAAATACATTAGTGAGCATTGTAGTAGTACTGATAATTATATTGTTCCAAATGTCTTTATTATTTAATGATTTCAGAATGGTGTGTTATTTAATTATGTGCACATGTATGTTATTTTGTGTTCATTTATGTATCCATATAGGTATGTATTTATTTGTTTAGGAAATTGATTAATAAAGCAATTTTTTTATTAAAATTCTTTTAATTTAAGTTCCATATTTCCAACAAATCCTTTTGTTACTGAGTACAAAAAGGTTTGTAAAAATAGGGTCCTTTTTGAAAATTACAAGAATTATGGTTGGATTATTGACAGGATTTTTTTTATTAAATCTACACTCTATTATAATTACTAACTAATTATTTAATTACTTAACAGATTACAGTTGTAAACTTAACATAAAGTTATGTCGACTTGGATTAACATAAAAACTGGTTAAAATTTTGTTAAAATTAAAAATTATTTGTTTAGTGTTTATAGCTATTATAGCCGTGCTAAGCTTAAAAGTCCTATCTACAATATAAAGTAATGGGACAAAAAATAATTGTTTGTAACAATAAAAATGCTTTTTTGTCCCTTATTACTTAATATTGCAGAGAGGTCCTATATATAATAAAAAACGAAAAATCATTGTTATTGTTAAAAACAATAACAACATTTCGTCTTATTACTAAATATTGTAGGTAGGATAGAGAATACTTTAATTTGGTAAATATAGTCTTCTACATGGTTACAAAAAAATTAAATAAAATATAATACTATACAACACAATTTTTATGATAATTTATTTTTATTAAAATTTATATATGAAAATCAAGATAATTATCAGAACTCGCTCTTGTGTAAAATTGATGAAATTAAACTTTGAACCTTAAGTAATTAAGGTAACAAAAAAATCACCCCTAACCATTATGTAAGTATAGGTAGTTGCCCTTAGATTGATTGCCCCCCAAAATTATAATTAATGAATCCCCTATCAAACCAAAAAACACTATTAACAAGCGTACCATAAATTATGGTCGCGACGTAACTAAAATTATTAGATCCATAACGTCATAAATGTTGATGATATTATTAAAGCGTTTGACACGCTATTTAATAATTTAAATTTATGCATGAAGGGCCGCACTACCCCCATAGAAAATTCACACCCCGGCGCGTCGCTGCTCGGAAGCAAAAACGGAAATGGTGCAACTTCTCGTCATCGCAGGTGCCACGAATATAATAATTTAAATTTAAATACGCTGGGCATTTTGTTAATGCATTTCATTTAAAGTGGGCATGGGGTGGAAATGACAGTACGGTTCAATTGGTATGCGGAATAATTGGCCGTTTTGTTTAATATTTAATTTTTAAACACTCTCGGAGTTTGTATTTCAGCCAGTGATGTAATGTATCGAGATACAAGTATCTAGATACTGGATCTAGATACATTTTATGTACCTAGATACGTATCGAGATACTTAAAAAAAATCAGGATCTAATTTATTATCTAGATCCTTAAATACAAGATACATTTTACTTTACCCAACCTGATTTCAACAACACACGGAACATGTACCTACATCCAATGGATATCCAATGGACATACTCTATGGATATCCAGGATATACATAGGATATCCTGGATATCCATTGGATAACCATTGGATATATAAATGTCCGACCCTGCTGGATATTCATGCATTGGACATCTATTTTATAGTTTACACGCTTGTTTCATAAATATCTATTGCCTTATAACTTATAAGTATAAGTTATAAGGTCCAAACAATTTTTTTCTTTGTCATTTTTAAGTTTTTTTAACAGATAGTATCTGGAAGTAACTTAGATGCTTTTTGAATGTATCTGTATCTGTACCCAGATACATCTGCCATTGAGTATCTGTATCTGTACCTAAATACTGAAAAAATGTATCGGTTACATCACTGATTTTAGCAAATAATATAAATCGTAAATAACACTGTTTGATCGAAAGTTAGTTTTCGTAAGGACCAAATCCGCTTCAGGGATTGTCTGATTATATCAATGTTGTAGCAGTTTATTTGTTGACGAAACATGCTAGAAATTGGGAGGTGCTGTATGAAAACCAAAAAAATTTCTTAAAAATTATAAACCCAGAAATTAACATAACAATCTAAATATTATATTTATATTATTATTTTTTAGACAGTAAAATAGTATATTAAATAACTAATGTCATAAGACGTCATTTGACATGAGTTCTTTATGCTATTTTATCTATTTTGCAAAAATTCTATTAAAAAAATTAATTATATCCCTTAAATTTAATTTCGTCGAATTTTAGTTTAGATAGTTGGTATCACAGTCATTGGTTTGACAGTTAATGTCAAAATCGATTCGCCATACCGCCCTTTATTTACTTATTTACAATAAGCGGCTGTTAATGTAATGAGAAGAAAAAAAGATTTTCTTTGGTGGTAAACAAAATTTATTGCCAGAAAAGTCTGGTAAGTACTAGAAAAATCATAAAAATATTAAAACCAATATGAAAAATATTATGCTATTTAAAGTATGGCAACCTATAAAATCAAAAGTTTGGGTGGGATAAAGTATCTCATTACAGCACCGAAAGCGGTGTTATAATGAAGTCATTATGAACGCAAAATAGATAAAAATATATAAATTTATGTTAATCCAGGTCCACATAAGTTTATGTTAAGTTTACAACCAACTGTGACTGTAACTAAGTAGTTTGTAAGAAGTATTTTGTAAATTTAATAACAAAATCCTGTCAATAATTAAGCCATATTCTTTTCAAAAAGGACCCTATTTTTACAAACCTTTTGTAGACCCAGTAACAAAAGTATTTGTTGGAAATTGGAAACTTAAATGAAAAGAATTTCGATAAGAAATGTTGACCAATTAATCAATTTCCTAAACAAAGAAATTAACACATACCTACATAAATAAACACAAAAATAACAAAAGCACAATAAATAACAACATTCTAAAATCATCAAATTATGAAGAAATTTGGTACAATATAATTATCAGTACTACTACAACACTTACTGATGTATTCCGTTACTTTAACTTTAAATAGGTATAATTAATCCGAAAAACAATAATAACAGATTTCTGGTAATATATTATAAACACTCTCTTACAGTTGTTACGAAGACGTTACGAATTGGAATAAAGTAAGCAGAAATATAAGTTGCAGACGCTGAAGTCAGTTTAACTTTATGATGAGTATTGCCAGTGGGAAATGTTTTGATTGACTGCCTAAAATCACGTGCATAATTTTTTAACGAAATGATTTGTTTAACATTAACAAAATAATGTGTAACCTTTAAAATTAACAATATGCTTACAAAACTGCATATTACCTTTACAAAACTTTTGGTAAAATATTTTTCTTTGTTAAAATAATTACAAACCCTCGTTTTCTACAAAAAAATATGTTAAAATGAAATTAACAAGCTACAAACTCATCTGATTTTTATAACAGTGGTGGCGCTTCTAGCGATGCTTCTTCAGCCTATTGTTCTACAAGTGAAGAAAAGTTTTTTATTGAGTGGAAATAGCGTAGCGACTAAATCAAATTTATACGAAATAGAGGAGTCTCTTGTCAAGATCAGTATAATAATTACAATATACTGTAATTGAATAGGTCAATGCAGAAACTGAATATGTCCACTTTTTAGGGATATTGAGTTAAACATGGATTTACTATAAGTAAAGGGTGCCCGATCGAATGGCGTAGAAATTTCACATCTCACGGTAATCTAGATTATACAAAGGCGTTATTATATAGTAGAGAAACTGAATATGTCCAGAACATGTCCACTTTCTGTTCAGTTTTTCTTATTTATCTCAAAACTAGATAGGTAGGACATATTCAGTTTCTGCATTGACGTATTCAATTATTATACTGATCTTATCTTACTTTTTTGTAAAAAAGTAAGATAAGTAGAAACGGGAGTAAAGTAGAAGTTTGGTAGAAGGCCTTGAATAAAGTTTATATGTGTATGTTTTTGTTAATGCCACTTTTTATACCTGATCAAACTACATCAAATGTGTTCCCAATTAAACATAGTTTTGGTCCATTTGAGTTTATTCTATGACACAAAACCATACTTTGGCAACAATTTAGAACAAATAGTGACCATTTGGTTACCAAAATCTAGAAACACTTTCGGCATAAATCGGTCATACTGGTGGTCTTTAAAATGTATCATTATTTGCTGCTTGGGATAATCAGGAACATCACTTCTAAATTTCAGATCGATCGGTGAATTGGTTTTCGAAAATGGTGGTCACCGCTACGGCACTTTTCAAAATGACTTTTCCAAAATAATCGAGATAATTTTTGTTTGGGTCAAAACTTGTAGAGGACTTATATACCTCATTTTATTCCTGTGAACTTCAAAATAAAAATCGTAAAAATATTCTCACCAGTAGTGTGTTTCGTATTTATAAATTAATCAGGGTTTAAGTTGAAATTAGATTCTCTTATGAGACCCTTGATCATAGTACAATTTTAATATCCATACTGAATTTATTTGGCTAAATCCTAAAAGGAACAGGAAAAAAAAGTATTATATAAATATTTTTTTATTTATTACAGAATAGGTACATTATATTACATAATATATTTCTTGTTATTGGTTATAGTCTACAAAGTCAAAGAAAATATTAAAACTGTTGTACCATCTGCAAGAGGATTCAATAGGCCAGCAACCCAAGTCGTCTTTTGGAAGGGTTTTGCAACCAACAATTTCGTCATTGTTGAGGACCGAATCCGCTTTAGGACATTGTCTGATTATATCAATGTTGTAGCAATTTAATTCTAGGCAAAACATTCCAGAAATTGGAACCACCTAAATAAAACAAATAAATAATATCATTATTTTTTTAATTTAAAAAATAAAATCCTAAAAATTAAAATTTTATTATGATACATGGTGTACGAAGAAAATAAAACAGTAATCATTATTGTTCGGAACAGTCATCCACTCAATAAACTATTGGAAAAAATAAATATTGCTGTTGACAATGTATATTAAATGGATTACGGCCATTTCAAGCGCTCGAAACGCACGAATTACAAAAACGTTTTTATAAAAAAAAATTGTAGAATATTTATTATATAATATTTTAAATAATTGCCAATATGCCAATTGGCATCAAAATTGTCAAAAATATTCTTTTTTTATTAGGTTATACATTAAATAAAAAAATGCGGGACAAAAAAATTTATCTTGTCCCGTCCACACCTGTCAAATATTGAAATTATCTTTACTTTTATAAAATATTTCTTGCATTTTTTTTTATTTAATGTATAGCCCATGTAATAAAAGAATATATTTAAGAATTTTGATGCAAAAATATTAAATAATAAATTCCCTACAATTTTTTTTATAAAAAAAGGTTTATGATTTGTCCCGTCATGACGTCATGACGCGTCAGTCCGCTTAAAATGGTTGATTAGTGTTCTGCGCACCAATGGTTACTGCCTTATTTTCTCAGAGTAGAGCCAAAAAGAAGATCATTTTAGTAAAATGGTTTAATTTACCTTTTTCCATTTAACCTTCAAGAAAAATGATTTTCTGAGACCAAAGTCTTTGACGTCATTTTACTGGAATCACCCCCGCAAATGCGTTTTGGCCACTCCGGAGTTTAAAAATAATTTAATATTATTAGTGTCTTATTGCATCTTACATTTTTCGACACTATTATTTTAAAAAATTAATTTTAAATTTGTTTGTTAATAAATATTTTGATTATTAAGGTTAACGAGTTCTGTAGTGTAAAAAAATATATAAAGTACAAAAATATAGAATGCAAAAATAAAAAGAAATATTACCCTGAATGGTATGTTAAATCCTTTTGACAAGTTTATTTCATACTCGTCCATAGGATATCCGTATGGGTCCAAATTTCCGGAGTGTAATGTGAGAGAAGTCTCTACATCATAACATTCCTGCTTTTTGCAATCAGCGTAAACGGCTGTAAGGCTGGTATTAAAAACTGAATCAGTAGGAATTTCAACAACAACCTTAATAAAAAAACAAACAAAATATAATAAATATTAATTGCTATAAAAATTAAAATACTTACTCTTTGGTTTACTTCAAGAGTAACATCTTCAAAGCCAGTTAAAGAAACGACAATGGTTTTGTTTAAATTATTTTGCAAATTAAGGCTTCTAGCAGTAGCCAAAGCCAATAAGCCACTAAAGAAAATAACTTTGGATATCATTTTAGTTTAGATTTCAAATGTAAACCATAATTTTCCCAAGTTATATTAATCTTTTATATCAAATATTTATCTCTTAAGAATTCAATTAATATTTTTTTTCTCTAAATAACTTTTAATCTATAATAAATATAAATTTTCCAAATAATATTAATCTTTAATATAAAATAAATACCCATTAAGTATTCACTTAAATAAATTGCTTTTTTCTACAAATAACTTTTAAAAAATCATCGATCTTGCTGTTTTATTAAAATTATGGTTTATAAGATAACAAATTCTTTTTAATTTTTCGCGATTTGTTAAACTAAATATGGGTGATTCTACAAAAGTTGGGCAACTTTTGACCTCATTTTGTTTATATAGTTTTCGGAGAAAATTGAACAGTATTTTGTTATAAGAACAGAGATAATATAATAAATAAACTGTTCAAGACCGGGCCAGTCACTTTTTCAAACAGTTTCTGAAATATCTGTGTTTTCTAAATTTGAATGCAAGGGAAGTGACGAGTATACCAGGGTACTAATTAAATACATAATTTATTGGATAATATAAGATTAATTGCAACTTTAAGCATATTATACATTAAATATCTTAAAATCAAATAATACCACTCATCAGTGGCGGCTGGTGGATTTTGGGTATACCGATATCTCAATTATTAGAAATGGGACCCACACCAAATTTATATGAGTTTATAATGACATTAAATAAACAAGTTCTGCACAAGCAGAATTTAAATTGAAGTTTGCTAAAAAAAGATAAACGAAACATCGAACATGGATCTGACGACACGGTACTGATGAATGGGATACAAATTTGAGATTATAATTCGGAATTCGTATTTTACTGATATTTTTTACTAGTTGATGCTACTTATAAACAAATCACATTTAGCCTTATATAAATTACAATGAAATATATATACCTAAGAAAATAACTACTCACCACAGTACTGAAATTTTGACTGGAACCACAACTTCGCCGCTTGCATTGTTTTCAAGATGACTGTCATGCAAAGGGCGGGCTCTGTAGGTAATTGTTTACCAACACTTGAGTTAAAACGAGGACTTGACGTTTAAACTTCAATATTTCGCAGGAATTTTGAATTTTAACATTGGACGCAGAACTGACGGGTAAAAGTGAGTACAAAGATTATCAATTTTTTTAAAATTGCTATTATTCGAATCTATGATAAAATATGAAAAATACATTATTTAAGTTTTATAGTTTGTAGTGAAATTGAAAAATTTAAGATAAATTGAATATATTTTAAAATAAAATCACTCGAATATTTGATTCAGGAGTTGTGACACGCCAAGGTACTGATGTTTTGAATATTTATTATGTTTTTCTACAAACGTGCTTTTGAAAACATACATTAAAATTGGGTGGACAAGTTAAAAAAACCTGGATACTAAAATATTTACAAAAAATATTAAAATACCTACTCTATTGACTGATGACATCAAGTTGTCCAACTTTCGTAGAATCACCCATATGTACATTTTCAACAAGATGGGGCACCACCTCATTAATAAGTAGCTGTTGGGGATTGGCTGGATCAGAATTATCCAGAACAGTGGATTGGTAAAATAGGACCAATATAATGGCCTCCCAGATCTCCAGATCTAACACCATTAGACTTTTTCTTATGGGGTCATTTAAAATCTGTGTTCTACAAAACTCAGCCTTATTATTTTGAAGATATGCGATCACGAATAGTTAAATAATGCCGAGCTATTCCACCACAAAAATTTCAGCTAAGCTAAAAATTAAAGTTTTTGATTATTGTTGAATAATTTGTTTATATATGCTTTTTTAGTTTATTAAACTTTTGTTACACTTATTTTGTGTTCTCCATTTTTTCACGACAACAAAATGTCACATGGTTTATGTTAAATGCTTTTTTCAAACGAATATTATTTAAGCAATTACATTTTTTATAGCTATAGTTTCATCTTTATGATTATTTCAAAACCAGTCGGTTCCTGCGCCCCACCCTGTATAAATTTTCGATTTTTATTTAAACTACTTTTTTAGGGATATTATAACACTTATTATTATTATAATATGTTATTTTGTTTTTAAGAATCATTGCTGGAAATTCCTCCCTGAGACCGTACTGTAAAGTGCACAATTTGTTGTGGGTACCTCGAAGGTGTAATTCCTAATTAAACTGTAGTAATTACCAACAATGTGTCTGTATTTCATAATGAAACACATTTTGACTTTCTTTTAAATTTCAAAAATTATTTACAATGTGCCCAGTTTTTTTTTGAAACTGTGAAATCATTCGTAAACATTTTGTCCAATCATACAGACCAATTTCGTAAAAAAGAGTAATTTTTCGACGAACAAATCCTTTGAGAGCTTGCAATACATTACTAAGTCCGAAATTCGTAACGTACGATGTATAATAACCGTATTGAGACATATTTTAACGTGTAGCGCCATGTGTTGCAAATAAATTTGTTAAATCGGACGTACACAATTCATGTTCATTGAACACACGAAGTAGAGTAGTAGTTGCATTATTATAATTGCATGCGGAGCTATATGCTTTTGTGTTTCAGCGCGAACCAACTCAACGTGCGATATAAATGGATTATAAAAGTGTTTCTGGGTTTTTTTATTATTCAATTGGGTGTTAAAAGCCAATCAATAGAATTTATTTGACGAGCAAAACTTTTCAATAAATTTCAAATAAAAATTAGGTTTTTTTATTTTTATTTCAACCCAAATCAATTGGGGTTACTAGATAATGTGTTTTTTAAATAATTCCTGGTAACATTAAAAATTATACTTTTATATAGTTATTTTTGTTACAAATAGTAAAATAAGTAAAACAATCATTTTTTGACAATTTATTTTGTTAAATTATCTTGTTGATTCGATATTTTTGTAAGAGGAAAAAAAAGTGTGTTAAGATTTAGCTTTCTATTCGTTGAGTAAATTTTTTGCTAATAGTGTAAAATTGGTATTTTAAGAACTATTCGAGAAGAAGGATGTGCCTACAAATTGTTAAAAAACAAATAATTTATTTTAACAACTTTAGTTTCACCTGGTGTAATCATAAAAATTTAAAAAAGCCATATTAATATTAAATAGGTGCCAATCCTAAACCAACAAAAATAACGCTATATTTTGCTACGTGTTTTGATAATATTTTTTATAGATAACCCATACCTGTTAATTGTTTAAGATTTAAGTTTATGAATCTCCCATTTCAGATTATTGATTTTAATTACTAAAATTACGGTATAGAAAATAAAAAAAAAACTGATAAAAGCACTATTTAAAGTAAAAATGATGATTTAAATACATGTTTTAAAAACTTTAAGTTATACCTACACTGAAAAAAATTTACGAAATTTTACACATCCAAACACACATTTATTTCTGTTTTTTTACTTAAGAAATGTGTTGTTCCATATAAAACATGTACACACATACTTACATAAGTAAAATAGCATCAATTTATGTATTTTTTTAAATTAATATGTAGTTTTTCATATTATTATGTAATAAATTCTTAAATTTATGTGATTTTACAATTTTTAATGTACTTGTACTATTATTTTCCTAAATTTTAGATTTACATGACCTTTGCATTTTTACGCATTATATGAAGTTTTACAGTATGTTTGTACATATACATTTAAATACGTGGCATCAAAATAACCAACAATCAGATGTGTAAATTTACAAAATATTTTTTTGAGTGTACACTGAAAAAAATTTACGAAATTTTACACATCCAAACACACATTTATTTCTGTTTTTTTTTACTTAAGAAATGTGTTGTTCCATATAAAACATGTACACACATACTTACATAAGTAAAATAGCATCAATTTATGTATTTTTTTAAATTAATATGTAGTTTTTCATATTATTATGTAATAAATCCTTAAATTTATGTGCTTTTACAATTTTTAATGTACTTGTATTATTATTTTCCTAAATTTTAGATTTACATGACCTTTGCATTTTTACACATTATATGAAGTTTTACAGTATGTTGTACGTGGCATCAAAATAACCAACGATCAGATGTGTAAATTTACTAAATATTTTTTTGAGTGTACACTGAAAAAAATTTACGAAATTTTACACATCCAAACACACATTTATTTCTGTTTCTTTTACTTAAGAAATGTGTTGTTCCATATAAAACATGTACACACATACTTACATAAGTAAAATAGCATCAATTTATGTATTTTTTTAAATTAATATGTAGTTTTTCATATTATTATTTAATAAATCCTTAAATTTATGTGCTTTTACAATTTTTAATGTACTTGTACTATTATTTTCCTAAATTTTAGATTTACATGACCTTTGCATTTTTACACATTATATGTAGTTTTACAGTATGTTTGTACATATACATTTAAATACGTGGCATCAAAATAACCAACGATCAGATGTGTAAATTTACTAAATATTTTTTTGAGTGTATATACCTACAAAATCTAGGACAATGCCAAGTTGCTTATAAGCAACAATTATAATCTTAATATTTGAAGGAATGAATAGAAAATAACAACAAATGGCCTCTGCGGCTTCGATAGTTTGCTTCCACTCGAGAAGCCCAATTTTGTATTGACATGAAAAAAATTATAGACCCTTTACTATTATTAAGAGTTAACAACAGATCGATTAAAGAGCTAGACTCTAAATTTACCTGGTCAAAACAAAGGGACAGTGTCAATGGATCAGGGCCGGCTCCAGGGTACGTGCAGCCGTGCCCCTGAACGGGGCGGCAAAAATCGAAGGGCGGCAAAAATTAAAGAGGTGCACAAATCGAATAGCGGCAAAATTCGAAGGGCGTCAAAAATCGAAAGGCGGCAAAAAGTTATCGTAATATTATTTCCCATTTTTAAATAAAAAAGCGGCTTTCTTTATAATAGAGCCGACAAAGGAACAATGGCACGCGCCGCAATATGCGGTTTCTTTTGATTTATCAGGATTTCGCTTTGTTTTTAGGCAAACTTATAAATTATTTTAGTTGATATTT